TTATCCGTTTTCAAGCATGGGTTGCAGTGCGTCGGCACCAGCGGCTACCATCAAACCAATGGATCCAGCAATCAAGATAGAGAAGCAAAAACCATTAGTGGCAACAGAAGCAGAGAATGTTTCTACGACAATAGCTGGTACGACCGATAAGAAAGCATCCATGAAACCGATAGGTAAAAGAAAACATTTTGCCTTTCGAACAAGCTACTTCGCAACGATATATGTAGTTTCCAATCGCTACTCTTCGAAATGAAAGAAAACAATTTCTTTTTGTTACCAATAACATACATTTTTGTTATTGTTGGGATTTAAATAGTGTATTTATTGGATACATGTTTTCTTTTTTAGCACTAACTGAAGTGAAGGGCAGTAAAACACACATTATGCTATCTTATCAACATGCTAGTCAAAAGCTTGTTTCTGAAGTTTATGATTTTTTAAAAAGGCATCAAGTTCGCGTTTGGATGGATGTCAAAGGTGGAATGGAAGAGCATCTTCTTGACAGGTAATTAAATTGTTCTGATTGAGTGAAGGTGGCTTTAAAAAGAATCTTTTTTTATTACGTAGCATGGCTGCAGCAGTTCAAAATTCAGCAGTTGTTGTCTGTTTTCTTACTCAAAAATATCAAGATTCACAAAATTGCAAGGAAGAATTCAAATATGCGCGAAAGAAAAATAAGCCAACTATTCCTTGTATAATCGAGGCTGGTTGGAAACCAGAAGGTTGGCTTGATATGGGTGTCAGTGACTTACTATATATTGATTTCAACAAGATCAAGGAAAATTCGAGTAATTTCGAAGATAAATGTGAAGAACTGCTTAAAAAAATTAAACAACTGGCAAAAACAAATGATTATTTTAGAAGTAAGGTCTTGAATTTGTTTAACTAACTGAATCGAAGCATGAGTATCTGACAAACATATGCTTATTGTTATGTTTAATAAGCTGTTAAGTATTTTTTTACAATGGAGGATTCTGAGATTTTAGTTAAATTGGTCTAAGCGTATGATATTTGAATATTAAAAGTTGCTACTACGTAGAAAATATAACTTTCGATTAGAAGAAAAATTTTGTCTTATGATCGGTATTCCTGCCTGAAAATTTTTATTGATTGCTGTGTAGTATGTAATTCAGTATTCTCTATATGGAAAATATTCTCCCAAGCTTTGCGAAGATAAATGTCCGGTTTCGCCAAGTTGGAAACGTCACTCTGGATTCAATGCGAAGGATTACCGGAGTATGGTTTTTCGCGTGGGTTTCGTCAAAAAGAGAAACTTTGCACTGTAGTTGTCAAGGAGATTCATTCACTTTCTCCCAGAAAAGAAAACATTCTTTGATCCGTGCATGCTTTCTCTCTGACTCCTTGGAAATCAAAGGAAAGCTTTGATATAGAAAAGTACTCTAACATTTGTATCCTATATCTTTTAAACTTGATTCAATATCGACTGATTACCGCTACAGTACCAATAGCAACACAAATGGACGTTACACGGTTATCAGGAATCTATATTCTAAAAAAAGGAAGTCGAATATATTTTCACTTTGAGTGAAAGATATCAAGTCTGTTCATAATCATTAGCTAACACAACGCTTTCTCTTCGAGTATCAAGCATAATCAAACCGAAATGAAGCCTGGAAAATGTGAATTCAATCAATCATTTTACTTTGAATAGAATAGTTGTGGATGTTCCTTCGAATGATAATATTTCTACGTCGAAATCAATAAATTTCACAACTATGTAACACAGTCAATTTCGTTTCACCGATATGCAGCAATATCGATTTGAATACCATTGAAATCATAGCAATATTTATTATCTGTTAAAAACACACCCTCGATCTTCCAAAAATCTTTTTTTTTAAATAGCTAGTCAAATCTCTAACTTTCTATTTGATATTTAGCTGAAGATGAAGATGAAGCATCGATCGATAATCAAGAAGATGATGGTACTGCTGTGGAACCAACTGATGAACCGAATTATGATGTGACCAGTGTCGATTATGCCTCAAAAATATCACCAAATATACGTGAAGGTCCAGAAATAGAGACAACAAGTTTCGATCCATCGACGATCAACAAAGATCTTTGTGAAGGTGATTCAGTCGTGCGTCTCATGAGAACAGGGGGTGTTAAAGATCGAAAAATTTATGCAAATCAAGAACTATTTGCGCATGATGGTAAATTTCTCAATTATTTTTTCATACCAAAATTAGTATTTCAAAATACAAGTAAAGAACCAATATCGGTCATTGAAATTACTAGTGAACATCAGAATTCTGAGGGCAATTGGCTTGATTGTTATGGTGTAAAAATTGGTCCAGCAATATCAGATGAAAGTGAATCATATACGTGGCTTCCCGATACAACATTGAATTTGGAACCGTCAAAACTAGTAACATATGCTTTACGTGTCGATGTGCAAATTCACGGAGAACCAGGATTGAATAATCAACGGAGAGCACGAGCACATTCAATATTACCACAACCATTCAAAATACGTCTTCGTGTACACGATACCGAAGGTAAAACAGTTAGTCTACTTGTAGAACAAATCAACGATCCACTGATTCTACCAACAAAAGCAAGAATAGTGAAACAATTTAATTACGAAGACGTCGTTGCATTTATCTATGCGGATGATTGTAATACTAATACACGATATTGGGTTATTGTTCATTATGAAGATAAGTCAAAACTTCGATTGAGCTATGGCAATTGTTTACATGGTAGTACAACAAAATATTTAGATACATGGCTTATAAGTGAGCTTTGCAATCAAGCAAAGCAGACAGATACAACTGAAATCGTGCTTGATGATTGGAATGATAATGAGAGAACAATTACAGCTTTATTTGATAAAATCACGTTTATTCTATTTGCCATGCGTATTGAACTAAAAACACCAACATCAAGAACAGTAGAAACAGTACTATTACCACTCGATAAAATCAAAGAAAGATTTGTTATTGCGAAACAAGAGCCCGAAGTTCATCGACCCTTAGGGACAACTGCCTTTGTTAGTGGCGGCGATTTCAGTCAAACAGATGATTGATCCATGTATCAGCTTCATCATGTCAATTCTTTTTACTCTAAAATACAAGTAACGTTCATCGACATCGAAAGTCGATTAATTAGGCCCTAGACTGACCGACGGATCACAGCCAGATGCATTTACTTTTCTGCTCCTTTGCTCCGTAAAAATGGCTACTTGTGCCATAGGAATAGCCATTTGTGCCATAAAAATGGGCACTTCTGCTATAAAAATTGTCAATTATGGCATAAATATGGTTGTTTGTGACATAAATATGGTCATTTGTACCATAAAAATGGCCACTTGTTCCATAGGAATGGTCATTTGTGCCATAGAAATGGTCATTTGTACCAAGCGCTTGTTACAGACGGATGGATAAACAGACACTGGTGAATTACGGTTTCTAGACCCTAGCCTTTCAGTCTAGGGAATGTATATATATACAATGTACAGTATCTGTGTCTGTCTGTGCCGGGTTAAAGGTCAAAGCATGTCTGGAATTGCCTAGACTTTTTTCAGAACGATGCATAGTTTATCAGGATTCTAGGAAGTTCTGGAATTTTTTGGAACGTCGTGAGTCTATGGGCTTTTTTATTTCAAACTGAATTCTAAAATCAAAAAAAACGCACCAACTTCTTCCGAATCAAACTTTTCTCGTTTGATACTACGTAGTCCCACTAAAAACCCTTAGTCCCCCCTAGTCCTGCAAAGTCCCCCTTAGTCCCCCCCACAAAAAGCTTAGTCCCCGCTTAGTCCCTTGTGCAGGGGACGAAAGCCTATAGTACACAAAGCCACAAGCACACCCTCACCCTCACTCGCGCGCCCACACCCGCACCATGGGTGTGTGTGTGTGTGTGGGTCCCAGACCAACACCCACACCCTCAGTCACTCCCCCCCCTCACTCCTAGACTCACGTTTCAGTTTGAAATCAAGTATTATTTTTATTTGATAAATTCAGACTGAAATTAAATAGCCCATAGTATGAATGTCGTAGAGTTTTCCAGAACTTTCTATCAGGGTATCAGTGTGGGTGTGTGGATGTTGTCAGAAAGGGATATGTTCACACTCATACGCTCATGTACACCAGCACGTACACGTGAACCTACCCACACCCGCATCCACGAAAAGAGTTTCATCAAGTACGACTAACACAAATGCACACCCACACAGAATCGCCGAAAGGTGTGGTTGCAGTGATATAAGTTTCATGAAGGACAAATAATAGAGAAATACACAGGGAGAATTGGTGCAGAGGATGGGTGTGGGTGTGGGTGGGTGTGGCTGTGGTACCCCTACACTTCGTCCCCTACTTTTCATCCCGTTACTTTTCGTCCCATTCAATTCGTCCCAATTACATTTCGTCCCCTTACATTTCGTCCCTATTACATTTTGTCCCAATTACATTTCGTCCCTTTTCAATTTGCCCCCCTTACAATTCGTCACAATTTTATTTTCTCCCCTTACATTTCGTCCCATATTGTAACTATTCATTCTCAGTATAGCAATATGAGATAAAGTTTATTTTAATAAATTTAACTGCTTAAAAACTGATAAGTCCTTATCACATGTGAATATTACCATAGAATCATCTTCATATAGAATAAAACTTTCTCCTCGATCAGTTTGCCGTAATATTAAAGGTAAACGACCATTATGATCAAGTTGCATTGCTGGTCGTTCACATCGAATCGTTTGCAACAATGCGTCATTTGTAGGTAAATTAGTAGTTATAGTTAATGGAATTGTCCGTAATACATCAAATAGTATCGTACTAGCTCCTTCATCTGATGATGCACCACGACTTTTAATTTCATTTTTAAGTCGAATGAGGTGCAGTCGATCTGGATCAGGTACATGAGAATGTTCAGATGGTTCTTTGAGTAATACTTCCATCTGAATATTCGTTTGACAACGATCAAAAAATAATATCAAGCAAAGTTAAAAGATTAGATTTAACGATTTACACTTACTTCTACAATTTCGGTCTTTGCAACGAAATATACGTTTTTCTTCTGTTATTCGATGTTGAGTGTACAAATATTCTGAAAAATATATCATTGAATTTTCTCGAGAACTCTTTCATACCTCAATAGTATTCATATTTTTGTTTATACTATTTGTACAAATTTGTACAAAATGCCAATAACAACGAGCGCACGTGGTTGAATGACAAATAGAAAAGTAATCTCGATAAATATGTAGAATAGAAAAAAGGAATATATTCATTGTTCATTGGTCGTTTATTATCACGATGATTCACTAGACGCGACGATAAATATTTACACGACATCTAACTAAAATAACTAAAAGTTGATCTTAGCAAAGATATGAGACGAATTGTAATTGGAACGAAATGTAAGGGGACAAAATGAACTTGGGACGAATTGTAAGGGGACGAAATGTAATGGGACGAAATGTAATTGGGACGAATCGTGTGGGGCGAATTGAACGGGACGAAATGTCATGTACCGAAGTGAGCGGTCACCGTGGCTGTGGGTGTGGGTGGGTGTGAGTGTGGGTGTGGGTGTGGGTGTGGGTGTATGGGGGGGAGGGAGCGGATGTGGGTGCGGGTGTGGGTGTGGGTGTGGATGTGGGTGAGTGTAGGTGTGGGTGTGTGGTGGGTGTGGGTGTGCGTGTGGGTGTGGGTGTGGGTGGGTGTGGGTGTGGGTGTGGATGTGAGTGTGTGGGTGGGCGTAGGTACGGGTGTGGGGTGTGGGTGTGGGTGGGGTGTGGGCGTGGGTGTGGAAGTGGGTGTTAATCAAGCGAAGACTAACACCCACACCCACGCTCCACACCCACACCCACATCCATACCCACACCCACACCCACACCCACACCCCACCCACACCCACACTCAATATTTACTAATTCAACAATAATTGAGTAACCGATCAAAACTATATTATAGATGATACAGATTTAAAATATGATTCATGACAAAAAAACCAACGATTCTACGACAGTGTTTTCTATTTGTTTTTGTATTAAATTGTGCCATCTAAAAAAAAAAGTCACTATTATTTGTTCATAATGTAAATGGAGCCAATATTGATAATATATGAAACATTATTATTAAAATATTCGTACAAGGATTATATTTTCAATTGAAAATTTTTCATGAATTAGTGTTTTATGTACTCTTTACTCTCGTTTTATATTAGAAAGTTAATCGAGAACTTTGACGTTTCAATGAATTAAATAAAAATCACGACTAGAAAGTCGTGTTTTTAAGAGAAATATTTAAGATAGAAGACCATCTGTTATATATAGTATCAATTATTAAAACGAGAAGGTGACCAAAGATTCAGATTGAATGATTCGAATTCAAAGATCAATGGCATCATTTACAGGATAACTCTATTACTGATATCAAATCTTTCATTTTTTTTGTTAAGACTTGTTTAAATGAACTTCGGTAAGACAGTTCAAAGTCGGTTGTTGACGGTATTTCGGAGTGTAGCTCCAGATAGTTCGATTTTCGTGTATGATTCGAGTATAATATGAAGTAGTTATTCATTTTCTTCTTAAGAAAGTTTGAAGCAGTACAAAAAGGAAAATATCCAATGCATTTTATGTCCTTTTCCATACAACCAAAGGAAACGCAAGAAATGTTCAATAACTCGAATCTGAATTGTGCTACTTCTTAATTTCATAAAATGTTACTCACAATAGAAGATTTAAATACTATTTATATGAATGCATATATGAAAGACTCAAAAATTCTATTCGATTGAAAAAACTGCTTAATTGAAATAGCTGTAACAGTTGAAGACAATAATTCTATCTCTACTGATTGGTGAAACAGATATGCTTAACTAATTGATAATAGAGTTTTTTTTAAATACCGATGTCTAACACAGCCGACAAACTCAAACATTGTATTTTGAGAAAGGAAAAAGAATTCAAAGGATTGTGAATATGTTTTCTTCTTTCTCTCTCAAAACATATGTTGACAACAGAATGACAAAAGTTATCATGTGTATCAATGAATAATCATCATCTATTTTTCTTTCTATTTCTATTAAGAAATTTCGCAATTACTATTTGTCATGAAATTACAATATAAAAAATAAAATATAGCAAAATTTCATTTATTTTTAAATTTTATCAAGACGACTACATCGATGACAATAAACATGAATACACTCTATGATGATTGAATGAAGATGATGCTTTTTATTACAAAGACATTCGTTTACATGCAATAAATTATCGTATATTCAATTATCGTCTTTGCTCTTATGGAAGATTCAAGACGTATAAAACTGCTTTGAATTGTTGTGGAACAATGTTTAATATTACGAATCCGAAAAATGTACAACTTGCTTCTTTACCACAAGAGAAACTGTTCGATTATGAAGAAGATTTTGGTCAAAAACAATATCATAAATGTGGTCGATTAGGAGATAAAATGGAGGAAATGGATGGAACATTAATATCAACATTTTTACATGGAAGAACTTCAAAAGACCAAGTCCTTAGAATTAAATCGAAACAATCCTTAACATCAAATCAAGTTCTGGAGGCGGCACAATTACTCATAGGTATGGTATGATTTAATATCATGATCATTATAAGTATTTAAAAGGTTCGGGAAAGGAGTTTCGAGCTATTTATATGTGTTAATGAATCACTTTTTATCTGTTTGAAACATTTTTATTCTTGATTAAAACCAAGTTATATGATGATGTTGAAATTTTAATAACTAAATAGCTTGGGATGTTTTTGATTACGCTATCTTTATTAAGTTTGAAGATTTTGAATAGATTCTATAAGTAAAAGGAAAAGCGTATTACGAAATTATGAAAATATTAAGCATGAATTTAAGTGATCTGGAAGGAATTATTGCCTAGAGCACACTTAATTTGAAGGTGAAGAGAATTCTTTCGGACAGAATCATTCATTTATAAGGAAAAATTTTATAATATTTAGTAAGAAATATTCTATGAATTTTTTCCTAGTAGCTAACTGTGTGTTCTCATTACTAGGAAAGTACCGACGAAAGATGACATATAAGACTGTAGTCTTCGTTTCAACAAAGTTCTGTGAACATTCTTACTAATTCTTACATAAAAGTAGACCGAAGCATGAGAAATATAAGCCATGATCAATTGAATTTTGATGAGAAAAACGGTTTATTAGCCATATGCATGATCTATTTTTCTTTTTCATAGTAATGGAACCAAGATAATGATTACTAACAATGGAGGTGTGTCTATTGTTGAGCGAAAAAATGGCACATGTTCGGGTCAAATGAAAGCTCTCACCGAGAAACTAACAGGGTTAAAATATTAGCTGCCCATGGCTTGTCTAGAGGGAGATACGTAACTTTTAAATCTAGGTATAAAAATGAATCAGGAAAGGTTTTCTCCACTATTATAAGGATAAAACATAGTGTTGTTCGGGCCGATTTTAGGGTTTGTAGGGACCCTCTTTCATATGACCCGAACAACACCATGTTCTGTCCGTATAATAGTAGAGTGAATCTTTTCTGTGGCTCATGGAAACAGCTTTTTCTGTCAACCATGAGAAAAATTCACTTCGCTATTATAAGGAGAAAACATGATGTTGTTCGGGCCATATGAAAGAGGGACCCTATAAACCCCATAATTGCCCCGAATAACACTATGTTTTGTCCTTATAATAGCGGAGTGAATTTTTCTCGTGGTTGACAGAAAAAGCTGTTTCCATGAGCCACAGAAAAGATTCACTCTACTATTATACGGACAGAACATGGTGTTGTTCGGGCCATATGAAAGAGGGTCCCTATTAACCTTAGAATCGGCCCGAACAACACTATGTTTTATCCTTATAATAGTGGAGAAAACCTTTCTTGATTCATTTTTATACCTAGATTTAAAAGTTACATATCTTCCTCTAGACAAGCCATGGGCAGCTAATATTTTAACCCTGTTAGTTTCTCGGTGAGAGCTTTCATTTGACCAGAACATGTGCCGTTTTTTCGCTCAACAATACACACACCTCCATTGTGAGATGAATCTTACTTACTGAAATAGATTCTGTCGATACTTGAGAAAGTCTGGAAAAGATTCATGTTCATCAGTAGTTCTTTTTATATTATGGCCATTCTAGTGAACTATTTTTATAGTATCCTATGATCTAGCTTAGATTACATTCAACATCAACTTTCGAATTCGAACTTTGTACAAATGAAGTTCTCAATGAGAATAGTGCTATGTGACAGGATTAGACTTTTCTAGTGGCTATTATCTTCAGGCACGAGATATTGAATATTTTTTTATATGAGCACACAAATCATTGCTTCCATATGTATATTTGATGAAAGAACATACTAAAATATCTGACATTGTCAAAATGAATTAATACTATTAAGAACTTTATTTGTGCTATGTTTGATTTGAAAAGTTGATTCTAAAAAATGAGTCGAGCAGAGCTCTGATTCATGTTGGCAAATTTACTAAAGCAACCATAACTCAAGAAATACCTATGAACACGAAACCTTTCAGTTTTTTTAGTCTGACTAGGGCTTATCTAATGAGATAAGACTCATCCTGGGACAAATTTATTCCTGAGTAAGATTCTGTCGTGAGAAGAGTTAGTAAAGAGGTGAGACCATGCGTATTTTATTCGTTTTTGGTTGAAGAAGTATCAGATATCAATGAAGAATTGTTCGAAGTAAGAGTATTAAACAAAGAACATATGGATATTGTCTAAAAAAACTTAGAATAATTAAATATTTCTTATACTTCCGAAAGAAGCTTGAATAGTTTTCATAGATATAATGAATAATATCGTATTTTCACAGAGAAATAGTTATTTCAATAGATGTAACAAACAAAATAATATTTATGTTTAATCTGGCAACAGTTTCTATAAATAATACTGTGTTTGATTATAATTATATTGTTATAAAAATCTCAAGGCACTAGTACAATTCATCGCACGACAATTCGTCGCAATCAATTCGTCGCGCGATCAATTCGTCGCACGACAATTTGTCGCGATCAATTCGTCGCACGACAATTTGTCGCGATCAATTCGTCGCAAAACAATTCGTCGCACATGCATTGTAGAGAATACATTGATTGAATTAAGTAATTTAGTTTAAAATGTTATACAATTAATCGCCTTAACAAAAATTTTTCTTTAGACTCATAAGAATCTTTTTTCAGATACAATGGTTTTTTCAAAAATAGAATAGAAATATCAAATTAAAGCCTATTTTAAAATTTAATTAAAAAAAATTGAAGTTTGATTTTAGATAAAATTCTATGTAAACAAATTAAAAATAAAGTTCATTTTTTGCAATTGAAATTCAACATTTTATTTAAAAAGAAGCTGAAAATTAAAAGAAAAATATAAAATTGAAAAAAATTTTACAAATCTAAATTAAAAAAAATTAAAGTTTTTTATTTATTGAAAACATAAATTTTAATGACAGAAAAAAGAACTTTATTTTTAACTTGTCAACATAGAATTTTATTTAAAATCAAACTTCAATTTTTTTAATTAAATTTTAAAATAGGGTTTTAAATTGACATCTGTATTTTATTTTTGAAAAAATATTGTATTCTGAAAAAATATTCTTATGAGTCCAAAGAAAAATTTTTGTTAAGGCGATTAAATGTATAGCATTTTAAACTAAATTACTTAATTCAATCAATGTATTCTTTACAATACATGTGCGACGAATTGTTTTGCGGCGAATTGATTGCGACGAATTGATCGGTCGCCAAATCTGAAATATCCATTGAATTAAAATTCTTTAGCTTGAATGATCTCGATGTTTTTCTTTCGAGTCAATTAAGAGACTTAAAGTAACAATTTATTCAAATAATTTTAATTTTTGATGAAGGTCATAATAATGCAAACGAAGATATACAATCCATGAAATCTTAAGTTATATATTTATCAAATACATCATTAAATCATATGTTTGTTTTTTGTTTTATTTCTGGTTTTAAATATTTATTATGATATATTTCAGTGATACAGTTACTGAAGATAAAGTTCATAATTTATTTTTACGAAAACATTATAGAACATTTACAGCATTAATTGCAAACTTTTTACCCAAAATAGAAAATTTGCGAACAAAAGAAATTAGAGAAGGTATTGTTCAAAAGCCGACAACAATTCTAAAACATTTCACTATGGAAGAAAAAGTTATCGATGACAAAAAACATATTAAACTTAATACAGTTTAAGGGACTTTTCATTCATCAATGCTCAACTAATTGTTTATGTTTAGAAAGTTTACTTTTTCAAATGTATTTGTTGCTTGAATAAATTTAAAAAAAAGAAACTTACAATCAATAGAAAAGAAGAATATTCATACAGGAAAAAATTTAAAAAAAAATCGTATTTTGACTTATTCTCTCTACTGGAAGGAGGGTCATACAGCGAGTTGAGTTCGTATGTTCGTAACTTCGCTCATCCGTTCGCACAGAACAGAAAAAGGTTTTTTTTAACCTTAAGCAGATTTCGTAGTCAAAACATTGACAACAATTGCCAGCCATAGTGCCAATCAGGGTTTTTTCGATTTGAGCCAACAGCCAATGGGAATTCGCGGATCGAAAATCCAACCAATCAGAAGTTTTCCAAGATGGGCCATCAACTAATGGGGTTTCGCCTAGCGGAAATCGAGTCAATCAGGGTTTTTTCGATTTGGGCCATCAGCCAATCGGATTCTGCGGATCCACACCCACACCCACACCAACACCCTGCAGCCACAGCCACAGCCAAACCCAAAGCCACACCCACTTCCCAACTCACTTTCCACCAGACGCAGACTGACACCTGCGCCAACACCAAAGTTACTGGAGACGATGCATTCCTAGTTTTATTGAGTTTGGTAGCTTTCGCTTATAAATTCAGTCGGCGAAATTCGTCGTTGGTGAAAAACTCCTTCAGAAAAATTGCAGTCGGCGAAAATCAACAGCGAATATGATAAAAGCCTGTTTTGTCTCCTATCTGTAGCGTTGGCTGAGTTTTCATTAAACATACCTAACAAAATGATATCTTTTCTATTATCTCCTCCATGTTCTAAATACGTTTTATCGCGCACCATTTATTATCAAGAAACTAGGCAAATATTGAAAAATTTTACTTGCATTATTTTTTCTTATTCTTTGCATCTCGTGAAGAATTGGTTACAGAAATTTGTACGAGACAAGTGAGTTCTAGAAATTCAATAACACTCTGAATCAGCAATGACGATCTATTCTAAAAGCTAGGCTAGTCATAGCACGTATAGAACATCTTTTTGACTAATTCACACTGTTGCTAAAAAAGTTTTACACTATTCATGCCACTTTCTTCGATTAGTTTCTATTTGTATTACCTGATGGACGAACGTATTTCTGATAATGAGACTATTTAAAGAGACATCAGCCCCTTAATAAGTTATGGCATAAGATTTTGGTATCTCTGTATTATTAAGTACCGTCGGGTTGCATGTTTGAATTGAGTTTTGTCATCTTTTTTTATTATCTTGTTATTTCAAGGATTAGTCTGAATCAGGTAAATAAACAAACGGACTAGACATTATGAGGTTGGAAGACATTTTGGACTAGTCAACACGTGGTTGCATGACAACTTTTGTGCTGATGGCTAGTGATGATGAATATTGAGACATCTTTAGAAAAGAGTTGACGGGCATTGTTGACATTTTGAACTGTTTATGTACCTGCCTTCATTAATTTTTAGTGCACTCGGACAGCTACCAGAGTAACTGATAGCATGTAATATTTTTGTTCATTGGCACAGCTGCACATCAGTACTGATAACTTACTATCCCAGTGTTCTAGAAATGAAAATTTACTACTGCGTAACCCAAGAACTAATGTCTGCGCCGGCATGAAAAAAGGATGGAGGCAAGTCATATAACTTGAGAACGGAATTAACTAGCTACTTGCGGCTTTCAGCAATCGATAGAGGAGACTCTGGCATGTATTGTTGCCAGATGCTATAGAAGACCAAAATTATTTTGAAATGCATCATCTTTGCAAAAAATTCAGAAAGAACGCATGAAAACGATCTTCCGTTTTCATATAATTTTGATTTTCACATGTGCTTCAGATGGAGGACTTGAAATCTAGTGCTCAAGGGATGATCCAAGTGATCATATTTTCATTATTCAAAAGCCAGGAAGCCTAATCGCGCATCTATGCAGACAAATTACATAAAACTCTATTGATTTTTAACGAATTCATTTATTGTTAATGAAACTTTCCGTGAATCGGAAGGTCGTTTTCATGCGTTTTTTTGAATATTCTGTCAAGATGTTACATTCGAAAATAATTTTGGTCTTCTATAGCATCTGGCAATAAGACATGCCCGTATCTCCTCTAACGATTGCTGAAACCCACAGGTCGCTAGTTGATGTTCTTCTCGAGTTATATGACTTGCATTCAGCCCTCTTTAATTCTCGAACTGACATTAGTAAATGAGCGGTTGCTGATTGTCCAAGTAGTGGATAATAAATCCGTTAGCGTTAATTGTAGCCGATGAATAGTCAAGTTGCCGACTACAAAGTAATTGATACATCACCAGTTATCAGATATTCTGCTAAGTAAATTCAAGTCAGTTTCCCAAGAACACAATAATCGTCAGTTGCCATTACGTGTCAGCTACCTTACCGAAGAATGAAAATTGAACACGTTATCAGTCACTTAAAAAAGTAACAGTCGCTTCTCTCTTCCAAATGACTATACTACTGGATCACAATGTTTCCTGGAATCTTATGAACTACAAGCACTATGGCATTAACAACGTTTATGTTTATCTCGAAAAATGAAGATCAGCAGCAAAATCAGAGATGTCCATCGCGCCGCTGCCGCTGCCGCCGTGGCGGTGGCGGCGCGGCAGCGGCAGATTTTTCCAAAAACTATCGCGGCGCGGCAGCAGCGCGGGAGAGATTTTTATTGTGCCGTCGCGGCAGCTTTTTAGGAAAAAATTTCAAAAATTCATGAATTTGCACAGAATCTGCATGTTTACGTATGCTATACTGTAAGACTTAGCAAATCTGATCGATTAGCGGCATCAGTTCTATTTCAAACCAGTCAAAGCCTTGAAAATCAAAGCATTTTTTCGAATACCAGCGCGGCAGCGGCGCGGTAGCTTTTTTTTAACAGGCCATCGCGTCGCGGCAGCGGCAGATTTTAAGCCGCGATGGACATCTCTGATTTGCATAGCCTTCAGCGAATTACAACTAAAATAATACGACTTAATAACTTTATCGTACATCAATACTCACAATAGAATTGTTTTAGTTCTACAACAGTACAGTCAGTTTCAATCGAATTCGAATTATATATAGTCACAGTATGGAATTGTAAAAGCGGGGATTTTTGACTCATAGTCTTTATTTTCGTAGGTTATAAAGTTCGTAGTGGAACAGAATCGTGTATATCATCACTCTGCTGTACCCAGTCGAATAGCGACACGGTTTTGGAAGCATCATATATGATTTACAGGATTTGACATGCCGTGAAAGAACAGAATGACGAAAAAGGCTACCTTCGTGAGCCTCGAACCGATATATCATGCTATCTTGCCAGCTCTCCTAAGTCAATCAAACCACAAAGCGTATCTTAATCTTATTTTAACATCGCAGTATAGCATCACTGATGCTAACAGGTTTCTATTGCTGATGTAGATTTATTTGCTGGTGTGTGTGTGACTATAAATTAAGAGAAGAGCTATATCGATCCTCCCAATTTGAGAAAAGACCGGAGAGAGATAAAAAATTGAAAATGAATGATATATTTGTTTACATTAAATGAGTCGAGAGAGAAAAAACTACAGTACTGTAGTAAACATATTGACTGTTGAGTTAGTTTTTTCAAGAAATAAAAGTAACAAAAATCGCTTTGATTGAGTAAGGAATCATGACACTCATCTTGTTGCAGACATGTTTTCATTTTCGGGTGCTAACACGAGACTTTTCGTCACCTTCAATCGCTTGGTTTCGAATTTCAGTAGTTTCGTACTCGGACCCGGCTCGGCTCAGTTTTTTCAAACCCGAAACCCGACAGGACCCGACCCGGCCTTGAAACAGTCAGCATTTGACTAATGCAAGGTGTCATATACACCCCTGGGCAAAAGTCTTCCCCCCCCCCACCTCTTTTTTCGGCAAGGTTTTCTCTGCTATTAAGGACAAAACATGGTGTTGTTCGGGCTATATAAAAGAGGACCCTAATAACCTCTAATCGGCCCGAACAACACCATGTTTTGTCCGTATAATAGTAGAAAAAGCCTCGCTGAAAAAAGAGGTGGGGGAAAGACTTTTGCCCAGGGGTGTAAGTCCTTTCCTAAAAGTTTTTTCAGTATATCTTTACTATTTGATTCAACTTTGTCAACTAATTTTTTTTAAATGATAGGTCTATGTACTGAGTTTTTATTTTGCTGAGCGAAGTTCAAAGTACCCGTCTAAGCTATTATCTGTAATCGAAGCACAAGTTTACTGTTCTATATGTAGAAAAATATTGCGTAGTAATTCTTTATTTATTCTTTCATTTTCTTGGACGTTATGCACACACTCATACTACACATGAGTTAATAACAAAACAACAACTGCACATTCTTTGGATGAAGAAATTTCCGTGCGGCACGAAGAAATCGTAATGTAGTTATCAAAACTTAATGTGTAATATATAATGTTAACCAAAGCACTGGTTGGATCATTTCTTACAATCCATTGATTCACGACAATGGTTCAACGATTAATTAAAAAAAAATAACCATGAAATGTTTTGAAACTTCTTTTATCTGACTTACAGGACAAAAAAGAATTAGCGAAAAAGTAGCTTTCAAAAAGCATAGGTCATCAGTATATTTCGTGAAAATAGTTCACTTCTGTCCGATTAATAAGCTTGATGATGAATGGTTTACCAGATATATGCCGACTTTATGAGTTTCGCTGTCCCTAGTTTTGACGCCATTGAGTTTCTTTTTAGGAAAATATATCAAAAGAAATATCTAAAAAATGACGCTTAAAGTCTAAACGATTCAAACGTCAGAGTTATTCAATAAATCGGAGTAATTAAAACAATCGTGGAATAATATCTTTCTGCATACTCGTATTTCGGTTACTGATAATAGCTTATAAGTGTACTTTTTAACTTTGCTTGCAAAAAATAAAAACTAGATGCATGGATCTATTATTGTTAAAAAAAATAGTTGATAAAATTGAATCAAATAGTAAGGATGTGAGGGGCTGCAGAATTCCTATCAAGCAGAGTTCAAAATTCTGTAGACTTAGCTATTTTCAAATGAAAGAACGCACGAAACGTACTTCTTCACACCCGTGATCGACAGCAGAATTCAAGCCAGAATTCTGTTGCAATAGCGCAATGTAAAACATCATGACACATGCTAGTAATCGTATATACTATAGACGAGATCAGTTCTTAAGAAAAATTTAAAAAAAGACAGTAGATATCAACCTAGAGTTCTATTCAGGTAGCAGAATATATACCATAGCACATGATAAAGAATGCTTACGCAATAACGGCTGTCATGTCTCGATCGTCTTCACGTTTTCTACACTAAAGATGACACCAGTCGGTATTTGAAGATCTGTGACACGCAGAATGTTCATGTGTATGAAGTTCACGTTTATAATAGATATCAGTGACGAAGAATCCAAGGATGAAAATATACCCTCAGAAAAATAAACCTATTACACTTCTTCCATTTCACAAAACTTTTCCCCTCCCGTCATGAAGTTACGAAAATCAATATAATTCTCTACCATTAGACTGGAAAGACATGATGTGCAACACAAATGTTTGCCTATCATGTACTCCGTACTTTAGTTTTCCACGGTATAGAATTCCATCCAGTTCTAAGCAGAATTGAGACATATCAGAAGGGAAAACGTTGCTTATGATATTAATTACGGAACTCTGAGCCGAATACAAACGCACTTATAAGAAGACAAAAACACAATTCTACTGTATGGGAATCAGTTCGTTTGATAAAAACACATAAGTCCACAGAATTCTGAATTCTGCTTGGTAGGCATGCTACAACTGCTAACCTGCCTCGGTATTCTTTAATATCCTGCACCCGACCCAACAACTTTGTACCTGGACTCCAGTGACGGGTTCGGTCGGGCGTCGAATATCTGATCCGGCTGCAGGACACTAAATTTCACACAGTTTCAAACTTGGAGACGCAATACTAACTCTTTGATCAAAATATAGATAATGCTATGAGAATATTTAGCTGAACAACGCGAGTACGAAGAATGCTGACGATACGATTGGAATGCAAAGCATATTTTTAGTATGCTCAGAATATGTAATTTTCGTAGAGAATACAAAGGATATGCTAGTCTACATTTCCAACTCAAGAGGAATAATGGTTCATTTCATTCCGCCCCTCAACATGCTGCTGATGATGAATCATTTCCCATATCTAGTACTTCTAATATCCTGTCTTCAATGTGACTGATCTTTTCAGTAGAGGGTTAGCAGCGTCTGGGCTGCGTTACTTGTAGATAATAAGTTCTTTTAGTTTTCTTAGCACAACACTCAATAAGAATCACAACATCGATTGTTTTTCTATAATAGTTCGACCGTCGTGAGATCGAATAGGGTCTTATTTCATTATCATTAGCTCTCTTTTAGTTGTTTCGTCATTTCATAATTCTTTTTTTATTATCTGAAAAAGTTTAGTATTCAGTTCGATATTACCTAATCTTTACAAAAAAAGATAATGTAGTAGAGGAGTCTGAAAACTCATTAATGAAGTGTCATAGTAAATGACAGATATATTTGAATTGTCATTATATTCAATTAGAACTGTATTTCAGAATAATCAAGAAAGAACATATTTTTTTTTATTTCTGTTTTAATATAAAGTACAAGATTGACACTAGAGAAAAAAAATGATAGTGTTCTGCCATGTCTTATAACTATTTCCAATTCTAAATATAATTTAATAAGCTATATTAGTATTCATGTTTAGTCTAACCTAATTATGAATTTATCAAGTTTCATTTCTGCATGTCATATCATGTCTTTTTACTACGAAAAATTAATTTTTTAATCATGATCATGGTGCTCATGAGTCGTGACGGTAAGTACCGAGGGCCGTTTCTTGTTTGTCATGTCCTGTGTTCCTCAGTGATGAATACTGTTAAAGGGGGTCAGACACATAAACTCAACGAAAATAATGAAGGTATTAATGAAGAAGAAGTAAATTACGTTCTTGGTATCGACTTATAACACAACAAGCATAAGTTTTATATTTTGTTTATTATGATGATTGAGTTCAGTTAATGTGAATGAGAAAAAATGAATAAATTATTTAAATACATTGAGAATGTAAGACAATCTACGTTGTGAGAAATGTAATATAATTGAAATAAAACAGGATGTGTGACTATTTTAGTGTTTCTGACTAATATTTAGTCATGACAGCATCCACTCTCGACGTCGTTTCATTTTCGACGAATATCAATTGATAGAGCATAAGAACCTGTAACCATAAATAGGATTATAGAATCAAAATACTACTAAAAATTATTTTAAAATATTTACTATAAAATCTTAAGATATAATCGATGTATCAATTACCTTGAAGTGGCTGATGTATTGAGAAAAAGAAAGAGAATCATTCCTAATAAGAAAAATAACTAAACCTGTGATTTGCTTCCTTTTTTTTTAAAAAAAAAAGAATTTTTACGTACCTTTGGAGAGCAAAAATCGGTCAAACGAAAAATGGTCACCCGCAACTCATCAATACGAATAATTGTCGAGAACTTTATAGTAAAAGAACAAAAGTCACTTGATCAAAACCTTCTAATGAATATAAAATTAAAAATTGTCAATTTAGAAATTATGAGTAGTTCTAATTTTTATAGTGGTACAACATAAAACAAAAGTGAATGCCTGCTACTTTCGTAGACATGATTATTTTTAATAGAGCGTGAGTGGGTCACTAAACTCACACCGACACCCTTTTTGTTTTGATCTTGAAAAAACAAAAATCATAGAATGGACAGAGAAGGCTTAATCAATAGTTTTTAACGACTTGTTTGACAGTAATTTCAATTTTATATTAACAAATAGAAAAGTTCTGCTGGGTTTTGCATGATTTTTGTATGAGGTATTTTGGGAGGAAAAATGATAGTTGAGAAAAACTTTTGGTCACAAATAATATTTATTATCATAATTCTTCTTAAGATATTCATCAATATCAAATAATATTTATTTAGATTAACGAAAATGCCATAATGATCCATGACTTTTTCTCTCTTCTTCTCTTTCTTCTATATACATTCTAATCTGTTAAGGACACAAAATACAATCATGCGCTTTATTGTGATCGGCTCTGTTCTCGTGTGTATTGCAATAAGTTTCAAAATCGATTTGCCTCACGTAAATTGTAATGTGGATGGAACAGTTCAAACAGGTTGGGAGCCAATACGTGATTTATTTCAAAAAAATTTCCAAGATAATCGCGACTTAGGTGCGTCCTTAGCTGTTTACCACCAAGGAGAACTAGTTGTGAATTTATGGGGCGGATGGTTCGACAAACAGAAAACGAAGCCCTATGATAATGATACACTACAACTCGTCTTTTCAACATCAAAAGGTCTTGTGGCAATGGCTGTTGCTCTTTGTGTGCAACGTGGTTTATTGAACTATACTGATATGGTTATAAAATACTGGCCTGAATATGGACAATGTGGCAAAGAAAATACAACAGTGGCTGACATCATGTCGCATAGAGCTGGATTACCTGCATTGAGGAATACTAATTTATCGATTCATGAATACTTAAATTGGTGTTCAGTGATTGATAAACTGGAGAAACAAGAACCATACTGGATACCAGGTACGCAACATGGTTATCATCCATACACTTATGGATGGTTAGCTGGAGAACTTGTTCGACGTGTTGATATACAAAAAAGAACTTTAGGACAATTTGTCACAGACGAAATTGCAAAACAGACACAAAGTGAATTTTATATTGGATTACCTGAAGAAAACGAACACCGTGTGTCACCAATCGTCGTAAAAGATTTCGGAAAGCAAGTGTTTTTATGTAGAAACTAACTCATTACTACAAGAAACATTATTACCTTATTCAGAACTAGATAAATTTAATGATCCAAAAGTACACCAAGCTGAGATTCCTGCAGCGAATGGGATAACGAATGCTCGATCTCTAGCTCGAATTTATGCATCTTTGATTGGCGATTTAGACACTCCAAAACGACTATTGAATGAGATTGTTTTAAAACAAGCAACAAAATCAAATACACCTGAAAATGAACCAGATCAAGTTTTGATGCATATATCGACCATGTTTGGAATGGGTTTCATGACTTATGGATCAGTATTTAATGTAATGGGACCAGGAACATTTGGTCACAATGGTAAGTGCAATTACTGTTTATTCTTTCAACCATTGGACTCCGCGATGTATCCAATATCTTAACAGTGAAACAGATGTTCATCAAGCCATGATTTCTCTGGAAAAAGCCTTTTTGGTTTTTTTCTGAAATAAGAAAGTTATAGAAATATATTCAGAAGTTAGAAATCAGTCCATCTTCTGTGTTTGAAGTAATCTGAAGTAAAAAAAATACCAATAACATACTAGATCGGCTGGCTTTTAGCGAAAACAACCGTGTCACACCAATAAAACTTCTAGAGATCCGCTGATTAGCATCTAGAACAGGATACCAAGGTTATTTTTACATGAGAAAAATACATCAATATTAATCTATGGAAAGTATCGAAGACACAGCTCAGTTTTTCAAGATCGTTAATCACTTGTTTCGAACTTATTTAGGACTCGGTGGCAGTCTTGGTTTTGCTTCTCCATTCCTCAATCTTTCATTTGCCTATGTTACGAATTTGTTGGACATCGAATCTTCGTCGGTCATTGATCCACGTATTAAGCAAATCATAGACAAAATTAGTTTCACTGTTAACAATCAAAACTAAATTTTCCAATCGTATTTGTTTGTGCTGTCAAGGAGTAAAACTGAAACATGACTGAAATAAGCGTTGTTTGAAAATATTGCTAATGTTAAATGTAGCACAATAACGTCTACAGTGAAATAAAATTTATATATTTATTAGAGGGTTTATTTGATTATAACTTTGTGAAAAGACTTGTTTTAATTTTGTTTTCGTATTACAAATCATTGAAAACATTAAGCTTACTAGCAGCAAGTAGGCAGAAAATAATTTCAAATCAGTTTTGCTTCATATTGAATTCTATTGAGCTGTTGTAAAATACCGATTTCTTCGAAATTCTTTTCTTTCGACAATTCTATAGAGCACCCTATAGAAAATTTCTCTAGACAACACTAAGAACATTTAGAGGACCATGATTCACAATTTTTTGTTCCATATTGTAGACTATTTGGAATATGGTATGACGTAACAAATAGTTAGAATGAATGTCAGATTGACTATTACTAGAAGTTTATATGGCTCCCTACAATCTCCTCAAATTCTTTTTACGGTTTCTGAAAGACTTCTCTAATTTTTTAGTATTTTTCTGTTAAGTAACACATGGTCAGATTAAAGCTTATAAATTATACACTCACAAATTAGATGCATTACGAAATCAATACTCGAAAGTATAATCTTTTAATCACTGATTTCGTATTCCACCTTAGTTTTCAGAAAGAAAGCATAATATTTGCAAGATATAGAGATCTTTTTGTTCGAACTGTTTTATGTCACTATATCTAGTTCAGAATGAATATGTCGTATGCTTAAAAAATACAAAAGATGATTGCTGTGAAATAAACAAGAGCCTCAAAGAGTCTCAGTAGTCTGTATAAGAGGCAGAGTACCAGGATCTGGAGGATTGACATTAGGAATTTCTTCAGCCGAATCGTTAAACAAATGTCTCCGACCTCTAGAGCAAGATTTTCTGCAGTTCCATCGACGAGCGACCAACAGGATGCCTATTATGAGCCCACAAATAATGAGTACGGCTACAATAATTAGAAGAATTTTTGAAATATGAAAGCTGTTTTCAGTTTTTGACGCTGCAGTTAGCCTTAATTTTACACCAGCATATTTTGTCGTCCTTTCTATAGCTGCTGTAATTGTTTCTATGGTAGTTGTTGTTATTTCTAGTGCTCTTGTTATTATTTCTGTAGCTGTTGCTATTTCTGTGGCTGTTGTTGTTGTCGTCGTTTTTATGCTTGTTATAGCAGTATTAATTGCTGTGCTCTCTTCTATCGTTGTTTTTATGATTGTTGTTATTGTTGTTGTTGTTGCTATGGTTGTTATTATCTCAGAAATGAAAGGAATATTAAAGCTGAGAAAATAACAAAGTGAAGTCGTCAAAATAAATCTTCATCAACTGAAAGGTCTGGACCTTCTTGATAAACCTTATACAAAGGACTTTTTGATCAATTTTGATAAAACATCGTTTATTAAAGTTTTTTCAAGATTTTGGACACTCAATAGAAGATTTTTATAACTGCCTGTTTATTGCGCAGAAAAACAAACTCATAAGAGCTAACATCTACAGATTTTATTCCGTTTGGTCGAATTTTTGTAAAAAAAAAACTCTTGGAATACCATACAGCTGCAAAGGACATAGTATATCGGTGTCAAATTCAGGTTAAAAATTTGTTTTTTCCCAGTTTTGGCGTTTTTTACTGTTTTGTATTTTTTGTATCCAATAGAAGATATCTGTTATATATTATGACTATGGTCATAGAGAGGCCGAGAAACACTACGACTTATTCTAATTTAAAAAGCAGTACTCAGGAACAAATAGATGAAATAATCTATTTTACATGCATATGAAACTTGTCTTGTTTTGGTTTTTGTTTATCACTTTCGCATGTTTACTATATTTTTTTTATCCCAATATATACTCATATATAGTGACTGTCGTTTACCAGTAGCGATTGACTTAGGTATTCTTATTCACTTAATTATAACAATAAAGCGAATACGAAGCAAAAGACATAAATGAAATAGACGAAGATGAAAATTATGACATTGATATGGAAACACAAAACAATCATGCAAACTTTTTTCAATGAAAACAACCTGGATAACATTTTTGAATTTGGTGTTTATGAGTAGTAAATAGTCAACAAAGATGTTACTTTTCATACTGAATCAGTCCGTATCTATATCAAAAAAATAAGTTTCAAAATTTGGCAAATTTATGTCCCACAATTTTTTGCACTCAAGTTCTTCTTCAGCCTTTTCATAGGGTTCATTGGATGATCTTTTAGTACTTTTCCAATATCTCATCCACTTCTCAGTATTTCGGAATCGATATTTCTAACTAAAGGTTCAGCTTTCAATCTTCTACTAAACTATATACTGCTATTGTTTGATGAAAACATACTTCATGGTTTCTTGATACTCGGTGCAAAAGATTAGTCCCATATGTCAAACTTTCAAACTTCGACTTGTTGCGAAATATTGTTATCATATATTTTAATTCTTACACTAATGTTATTTTCTACAGGGTGTTAAAAAACCTTTACGCCCCCTAGGTTCTACCTTAAGGTAAAATGATTTCACTAAGTATTTAATACCAAATTGAAGCCCGTAAAAAAACTGCATTTATTGGTACTAAATAGTAATTGTTATGAAGACCTTTTAATGTCGAACTTACGGGATTTTTAGAAATTAGATATCTTTTTTGGTGTAGAAAAGTAAGGTGCCGGTAATTCAAATACGAAATAAAACATTTTTCTTAGATATTTTTACATGATTCGATAGAGCTCGACGAGCTCTACAAAACTAGATATTTCAAAAATACTTCGAGCTATCTTTCTATGATAAAAAATTCCAAAACCTGCTTGGAAAACCACAAAAAATATTTGAAACTTAAGTTTTTTCATATGGAAGAAAAACACTCGATTTTTCAATAAAATTAAGTTTCATTGATTATTTTTTCCCGCCTTAGACGTTTCGAAATACACTCATTCGATGCAATTTTTCACGCGGCATCGAATGAGCACATTTCAAAATGTCTGAGCTAACATAACTAATGAAAAAAACTAATATCATTGAAAAAATTGGATGTTTTTTCCACATGAAAAAAAGATGAATTTTTTGACACTTTTTTTGGATTTTCCGTTTAGTTTTTGGAATTTTTTATCACAGAAAGATAGCTCGAAGTATTTTTGAAATATCTAGTTTTGTAGAGCTCGTCGAGCTCTATCGAATCATGTAAAAATATCTAAGAAAAATGTTTTATTTCGTATTTGAATTACTGGCACCTTACTTTTCTACACCAAAAAAGATATCTAATTTCTAAAAATCTCGTAAGTTCGACACAGGGCTCGAAACGGGCCAATTTTTGATGGCCCAGCTCGGCCCATACCGGGCCAGGAATAGTTCATGCCCGCCCGGCCCAACCTCTTCTATATTAGAGCCCAGCCAGGCCCGCCCGACCAATTAACCGTGCCCGCCCGGCCCGGCCCGAATAACAATGGCACTATTATCATTATAGTTCTTTTATAAAGAAGGTCTTCACATGACGGAACCCAATATCACTGGATTTAGAGATGGTTATTTCTCCTTGATTTATTTTAATTTTAAACTTGTTGAATTTTAAATGAAGTATAGATTTGAACGTTGAAGAGTTAAATAAATTTAAAATTTGATTTATTTATATGAATTTCAATAAGTTAAATTTAAAATAAATTGAACTTTTTGGATGTCAGAACTTAAACTAATTTTAAATGTAAATTTACAAATTTACATTTAAAATAAATTTATTTTAGATTTAGATTTTTAAAAATTAATTTTTGGACTTATTAAGTTTTTATAAATGCAAAATTGATCATCCCTACACTGTTGTAATTTTTCAAATCATTATAGTAACGTTACTTATGATCATGATGATCACGACTTGAATAAGGTTAGACAATTCTAAGTCTTCAAAAAAGCCTGGTAGATAAGTCGAATTACTTACTGAATCAATAGAGTAAGATGAATCCATCGACACTTCAACTTCTGGAATACTATTATTTATTAGCATGAACCTCACAGAAGTGAAACACCAAGTGGTCAAATTCAATGAGTCACATGGATTGATATTTCTACTTTCTCTGCTAATTTTAGTATACAGCTAAAACTGTTCCACTTAAATACTGTTTATGTGGCTTAATACAGTTAATAGTTCACTCCATTTTCTCTGTAAATGAGGTGTTGTCATACTGAATAAATACTTTGTTTTCATTTATTGCCTAAATGAAATTTCCAAAGCGTTCACATGGTGAAGCTTCTTGATCGTTAACAATTCTGAGATGTACAACCCATGTAAAAAAATGTCAATGAAAAACTTAAATAAACCGATTATTATTTTTTTTGTTAAAAATCGATTAGAACGATGCCACTTAATTCTTACTGAAAATGAATTTTTCAACATGAAAAATAGATTTCATTTGATTTTACTATTTTAAATCGATTTTTAGTCGAATAATAAAGTCCTATTGATTGAAATTGGTTTTTAGAAACTGATCAAGAATGATTAAAATCAAATGATATCTATTCTTGAACCTGACAAATCAGATTCTGACTGGATCCAAATGGTGTCACTTTAATTGACACTTGTTCATAAAAAAATTAATTCTAATCTAATTTATCGATATTTTTTCTTACACAACTCAGTATTAATTGATGCCTATCTTAACGCCTGCTATACATGTCAAAGTCTAGGCTAGTGTGATAATCACGATCTACTAAGCTAGGCAGTTTGAAAAAAAACAGAGGTTCGAGTTCCTAACTTAAAACCCGAGAAAAACCTGTTTTACAACCACCACCATTTTAATCAAGTGAAAATTAACGTTACTCTAATTTTGATTAAATGATGACAATTCCACCGTAATCGATCTTTAGCTAGGAAGAAGTCGACTAGAATCATTTTTTTTGTCGTGTGTGAGAAATTTCCCTTGCAAAACAGAAATAAAGTTCGGGCCGGGCGGCCCGGAAGAATTTGAAGCCCACCCGGCCCACCGGTCTTCGTTGAGGAGGCCCGCCCGACCCGGAATAAAGACCTTCTTGGGCCGGGCCTGGGCCGGGCCGGGTGGCCCGTTTCGAACCCTGGTTCGACATTAAAAGGTCTTCATAACCATTACTATTTAGTACCAATAAATGCAGTTTTTTACGGGCTTCAATTTGGTATTAAATACTTAGTGAAATCATTTTACCTTAAGGTAGAACCTATGGGGCGTAAAGGTTTTTTAACATTCTGTATATTAACTTACTCTAATTTTTTACCTCTAGTTTCTTATATCAAATAATCAGAATTGCAGAATCTACCGTAACATGGGAAAAGTTCTCAAATACAGCTTCACATTTCATCCATTGATTTAAAAATGTATATGAACATAATCGACTTGTTGTTTCACATAAATTCAAACTCATATTAACAGAGAGAACAGAATAGTATCTTTATGATCGTATATCGGCTCGATTGAGGCATATTACCTACGTGTTCTTTCTGCAATTCATTTTCAATAACCGAACTAGAAGAAAGAAGTCTCCGCACTTGTGATACTGTTTACTCTTCTTTTGAAACATTCACTACTGATTTCTTTCCATTCAAGAAAATTATTTGTACAGTGTATATGAAACGATGCTTTGCTGATACATATATCAGTCTTTGAAAAGGTTAGTTAAATGACATCGACTGGCTGATACTACGTTAGGGTGTGGGTAGGAAACTGAGGAATAATATGATTGAAAGAAAGAGAGTTCATCACAAATCAGGAAAATATGAAAAATCGGAGTTCAATCAGTGCTGCTGCTTCTAGGATTGCACCGATTCCGGTTTTAACCGATGCCGGTTCCGATTTTAGAACCGAAACCGATGGAACCGATAAGAACCGAAACCGAAACCGATAAGAATCAATTGTTACTGGTTCCAACCGATTCTGATCAGTTCTGGTGTCGGTTTTTACCGGTTCCAACCGATTCTCATCAGTTCTGGTCTCGGCTCCAACCGGTTCTTATCGGTTTCAATTGATTCGGACCGGTTCAAATCGGTTGCAACCGATTCTGATCAGTTCTGGTGTCTGTTCCAATCGGTTCTTATCGGATCCAACCGATTTTGATCAGTTATGGTGTCGATTCCAATAGATTCTTATTCGTTCCAATCTATATTTATCGATTCCAACCGATTCTCATCAGTTCTGGTTTCGGTTCCAATAGGTTCTAACAGATTCTGATCGATTCCAATCGGTTCTTATCGGTTTCAATTGATTCGGATCGGTTCCAATCGGTTCTGGTTCGGGTTCCAATCGGTTCCATCGGTTTCGGCTCTGTGGAACCGGTAAAAACCGGAGCCGT